TGTCTCTGTGTGTCTTTATGTGTCTCTATATGTCTTTGTGTGTCTCTGTGTCTCTATATGTTTCTCTCTGTCTCTATATGTCTTTGTGTGTCTCTGTGTGTCTTTATGTGTTTCTTTGTGTCTTTATGTGTCTCTTTATGTTTCTCTCTGTCTCTACATGTCTCTTTGTGTGTCTCTGTGTGTGTGTTACTCTGTGGGACAGGTTAAGTTTTGCAGGACGTTCTGCTTGGTGTCATCCTCTGGACTGAGGACAGAAGCAGACGGAGACGAGCTGAAATCCGTTGGAGGACGTCTTCACGGCAGAAGTTTTACAGTCGAGTGAGAGAAGTGGCAGCAGCCTCTGCTGTTGCACGTTGAAAGGTCACGATGTGCACGAGTGTTTGACGGCTGCTGTTGCTTCCTTTGATTTCTGGCCACAGACCGATGAGGCTGTTTCTTACAGAGAACATTACATAAAGAAGAAAACACAAACGCTGTTCTTTGTAAATATATAAACACTTTGTTTGTGTTTTTGTTTTTTCAGGCTCGTAACAAACAGAGCGGAGAGCTGGCAGCTATTAAAGTCATAAAGATGGAGCCAGGTGAGAGGTTTTTGTTTAAAATCCACCAGTTTTTACTTCATGTAGCGTGTCACAGAGGCCAGGTGAGCTGCAAAGCATTCTGGGTAGCCTTGTAGCAATAATGTGTGCACTGTTAAAGATTCTGGTTCTGGGTTGTTCCTATTGGTTGTGAAGATAAATTAGTTTCAACAGTACCGTATTTTTCGCTGTATATGTCGCACCTTTTTGCATAAATTAGCAAATCCTGCAATTTATACACTGAAGCGACTAATATACATTTTTTCCCATATTTATAACCAAATTTTTGGCTGAGATCTGACGATTTCATTCATTCTGAGAAATATTGAACACTACCATTTTTAGCCACTAGCGGACCCTTGACCAATATGGCAAGCCAAGTGTCTCATTAATAGGTAAAAGTGGCTATTAGTGAGACACTTGGCTTGCCATACAAAACCACCTTCGTCTCGCTCCGAAACTCCTGGAGCAAACATCAAATCAGCTTCATTTCACTGCGTCGCCCAGGAGAAATGCAGCTGATTGGATTGTTAAAGCGCATTTATTAAATAAAAGTTCAACTGGGACACACGTTTACTATAATGTTGAGCAAACAAATAATTGTTTTTAGGTGGTTATCTTGTTAAGTTTTGAAGAAATGCACAACAGTTCCTCCCTCTACGCACTCCCGCAGCCGGGAATCGATTTTTGAAATGCAGCTGATCTGACCATTAAAGTGCATTTATTAAGGAACAGTTAGACTGAGACACTGTAGGAGTTGTGGTTTTGTCCTTGGTGTTGTGTTCATGTCTGTGTCCCCCTGATCCCCTATTTACGTCTCTATAGGGTTTGTGTTTCTTTGGTGTCTAGCCCCATCTTGTGTCGTGTTTATGTCCTGCGTCTTCAGTCTCTGTCTCTGGCATCTGTGATCACTCACAGGTGTCTTCACTTTGTCTGATTGGTGTTTCCTGTATATAAGTCTGTGTCTCTGTGTTAGTCTTTGTGCTGGCGTTGTCTACTGATCACCGGTGATGACCTGTCCATTGTGTGAGTACCTCCTGTTCGTCCTTGTTTGTTTTTGCGGCCCCGTCAGCTCTTTTGTTTTGTTAATAAATTCTTTATTTTATATATCTCCTGAGTCCTCCTCGCCTGCTTGCCTGCACAACTGGGTTCACAAGCACCAATTTGTGACAGACACACCTTTGCTATAATTTCGAGCAAACAAATAAATGTTTATAAGTGTTAAACTTGTTAAATTCTTGTTAAAGTCCTCCCGTGCACGCTCTCGCAGCCGCTGTTTGGCAGCCAATCGTTTTTTGGCACAACACCGGCCCACGTTTCCGGGTGGTCAGCAGTGACGCATAATAGATGCAACATATACGGCGAAGCAACTCATTTATGTTTTTCCACTTTATTAGACGTTTTTGAACTGATGAAACTTATAGGGCGGTGTGACGTGTACGGCGGAAAGTACGGTAGTCACACAAGTATATCACAAGGTTCACAAACACAGTTTCTCAAATGTACACATTTAAAATTGCACCCGTAGGAATATTCTGTGCGTACAAATAGTGAAATACACGTGCACAAATCACCTGCTGTGCACGGATCATGAGTGAACGGATCAGCTTTGTGACTTTAGAGCAGAGGTATTCAGCTAAACTTCTCCTGACCATAAACTAAGTATTACAATAATCTGTTACCTTTTAAATGTGTTGATTTGGCTGCATTGAATCATAAATGCAATAAACTTAACCCAAAAGTGTAATTCAGATTACATTTCAAGATTTATCTTCATACAGTAAACGTAGTGATGTTCTAATGTGAAACAATATCACACACAAGAATGACTCCCTGCGCCTCCTATTGAACACAGTTATTGTGGCGATCTGGTAGTTAATGTTGAACTCAAAGTGCCGGCAGACCACGGAGACTCTGAGATTAAAATCAGAAGTAGTTTATTAAATGAAACGAAACAAAAGGCACATAAGGCTCAGGACACGGAGGGAAGACGGGACGTGGAGGTTGACAGTAAAATGCCCAGACAACGAGGAGCACAGAAGACTTACACACGCTAACGACAGGCGATGAAAAACACCTGGGGAAGGAGGGAGGAGCTGATTACAAGAGGGAGTAACACCGAGGAGAGCAGGACAGACCACAAGACGGAGACACACACTAGAAAACACAAATCCTCACAAATATTATTCCGATAGCTCTGACTTGCTAAATCGTTGAGCTTTTCAAAATAAAACAAATGTTGAATGTTGAATCATTTGGAGGACAAACAGAATCGGCCAATTTTCTAGAAAGAATGGCGGCTCCACTAGTGATGTAGTGCTTGAGACCGGTCTCAAGACCACTTTTTGATGGTCTTGGTCTTGTCTCGATCTCGGACATTGAGGACTCTGGATTTTATTTCAAGACCAGTCAAGACCACAACTGTGGAAATATCACTAAACTGCCAGAATATTGTCCAGTTTATTTGTCAACATCTTTGTTTTTATTTGATGCAAAATGTTAAAGTCCAAGCGAAAACGTGACTCATTGCTAAATACATGTTTTTGTTACCGCTGTCACGCCCACCCCCTTTCACTCGCACATGGTTCTGTACCAACAGAACATTACAGAGAACAGAACGTAACGTCGCAACCAGGGGTGAAAGTAAGTCGGTCCGGTCCGGTACTGTGTACCACTAAAGTATTCTGTGCCGGTACGCAGTACCTGGAAGAGAGGGGAGCATCTGTCTGATGTAAAGCCTCATTCAGAACCAGTCACAGCTGCACTTTGGGTCAGAATAGATTCTCTAGCAACAATCAGTCTAAAACACGACTTAATCAGTTAATAAATAGCTTTTTGTCTCATTTCAAATTGTTTCTGAATCGTTCGTGCTGGAGCCTTAACTCTACCGCGGTGAAGTTAGTTTTACGTTGGATATTCGAGCTCCGTGGCTTCAGCGGTGCGTTCCTCTCATTCGATCCGAAGCAGGCAGTCTGATGTTGGTCAGCTGCACTCAGTCTGCCCCTCCTCCGAGACGTAAAGGTTCACTTAGGGACCGTCAACAAATTACCGAACCAAACACTCTTCAGAAACAAAAATTAATATATTCTGTATCATTTGACCCACTGACACGAGACTAATATTAAACTACTGTAATAGACCCGACACACAAGACACCATCATTTATTTCTCATTTTACATCATTTTCTAATTAGTTATTGAGCAAAACCCATGGTTTTTGAACAAATAAATTATGTAAAATTAGAAAATGCTTTAAATTGAGAAATAAATGAGGGTGCCTCGTCTGTCAGGTCTATTAGAGAAGTTGAACACAAGTTTTGTGTCAGTGGGTCACATGACATGAAAATTATTGTGCAAAAACCACTGAATGTCTGATTTCTCTATAGCTTTGAAAATGTATAAAAGCTGATGCATTCATTTAAAAGCAAACTTAAAAGTTGTAGTATGTCACTTTTATAAAAAAATGTTTTATAAAAGTGACATTTTTTTTACATATTTGTTAAAACTGTCACTATGTCGTGACAGTATAATGTACGACAGATAATCTGTGAAAAGATTGAGCTCCAAGACCTACGGTCTTGGTCTCGACTTGGTCTCGAACCCCAAAAGTCTTGGTCTTGTCTCGGTCTCGTTACACTCTGGTCTCGGTCTTGACTTGGTCTTGGGTTAGGTGGTCTTGACTACAACAGTGGGCTCCACCCAGAGTGGGATGGATGCCGTCTCCCTGCATCAGACCAGGTTTCCCCTAAAAAGCACCCAGTTATCTACGCAGCCCAACAGGACGTTTATAGGGAATGCACTTCCTGTTGGGGTGATAGTGTGTTAACAAAATAAAGGAAGTGATGTCGTTTGAGCACAACTCTGTTGTGTATTTTACTGCTACCGCTAACAAGTTGCTACAATAGCGAAATCTTTTTGACTCTAAGAAACAAACAAAATGAACGTGTTGCTGCTCGACCCGTCGACAAACACGGGACTGGATTATTACTTCATCACGCTGGTTCCACTGATGAAGTTTAATCTGGTGCAAGACCTCAGACTTGTTTTAAAGCAACACAGTTTCTGTTTCCTTCGCCATGATTCCAGATTATTATAATAATTTTTATCATAAATCTGGCCGTGTGCGAAAAATTATTTATGAGCAATTGTAAAAAAAAAAAAAAAAAATTCAATAAAACGTCTGGAAAGTGAAGTTTTGGAGTCGACCCAATTCAAGATGGCTGCCACAGCCATCTGATCTTCAGAATCACAAGACTGGCTCAAACTCAGTGGGTTTTATTGTGGTAAAATTTGAGGTGGTAGTAGCTGAGCGTCCTTCCCAACGAGGGCTCTGAGTGTGATCACAAAACGTGATTTTCAAGGTTTAACCAAAAGAATCTTCAGCTCTTGTTTTTCAGTGGCGGGTGACGTGCATTCAATCTGCTGAGCCTTTGTTTTCTAGAGACGCAGCACAAGAACTCACCTGGAGCTCAAGAAACAAACATAATCTGTGTTTTTCTGCTCTAATCTGAGACGAGGACCATCTTGTTTTGTGTCCCACAGAGGATGATTTCTCCATCATCCAGCAGGAAATCATCATCGTGAAAAGCTGCAAACATCCCAACATCGTAGCTTATTACAGCAGCTACATACAGTAAGAAGCCCCGTCTCTGTTTGTGTGTCTCTGGTCCCGGACGCAGCCGTTAACTCGGACGTTCTGGTCTTCCTGCAGAGCCAACAAACTGTGGATCTGTATGGAGTTCTGCGGCGGAGGTTCCCTTCAGGACATTTACCACGGTAAGTACCGGAGAGCGAGACGTGTTTGTGTTCATGCTGCTGTAGCTGAGTGGTTAGAGCAGTCGTCCAATGCAAGAGTTGGGGGTTTGATTCCACCAGCAGTCACATGCTGAAGTGTCCCTGGGCAAGACACTGAACCCCTCATTGTCTCCGATGTGCGTGACATCGGTGTACGAATGTGATAAAGCTCTGATTATTCTTTGTATAGATCTAGTAGAGTGCTGTATGAACGGGTGAATGAGGCACAGATTGAAGTGTAAAGAGCTTCGAGTGTCTTGATAAAATAAAAAAGTTCTGTAACGGTCCATTTACCATTCACGTCTGAAGAACCTAAGTCCAACACTTTTCATCTATCTGATGCAAGGCAAATGAGTTTAAGGCAGTTTAACACAAATAAAACTAAAACTTGTTCGTTCAGGAGATGAGTAATAATCTAAACGCAACACAAGTGTTACAAAAACGGCTTTAATAACGTTTTATTCAATTTAAAAAAATCTATAAACACGATGAGATCCTTCTCTGTCACTCATTAAAGCTTTAAAGAACTCATAATTTTTATACTTTGAGTCAAAATCTAACTCATATAAGAGTAATAACTGATGATGGTGATCATGTACTGTCTGTGTTTGGGTTTTAGCAGCAAAGGGATTTTAAAGAAACTCTCAGGATGAAACCATTGGATGTTCATCCACAACTGATTACCTTTTGGAATAAACCTAACTCAAGATGGCTGCCACAGATAATCCCCCTTAGCCAGAATGGTTCTGTATTTACAGTAGCATCCTGTGAAAATAAAACATGGTTCTTGAGGAACCGTTGGCTGTTTGAACCATATTAAAGGGTGACAGTGTGTCACTAGTTTGACAGTTCATGTGCTGACGTGTGGTAGTAGCTGAGAGTCATTCTGAACACATACTCTGAGTGCTAACAGGTCGTATAAAGTCCTTGTTGGAAACAGCATGCAGGGTGGCGGGTGATATGCATTCACCCAAGGACTGCTAATTTTGTGCAGCACAAACCGTCCTGCCTGAATCAAAATGATCACTGGTTGGATGATGGTTGGATGATGGTTGGATGTTGGATGATGGTTGTATGTTGGATGATGGTTGGATGATGGTTGGATGTTGGATGATGGTTGTATGTTGGATGATGGTTGTATGTTGGATGATGGACGATGATTGGATGATGGTTAGATGTTGTATGATTGTTGGATGTTGGATGATGGTTGGGCAATGGTTGGATGATGGATGATGATTGTATGATGGTTAGATGTTGGATGATTGTTGGATGATGGTTGGGCAATGGTTGGATGATGGATGATGATTGGATGATGGTTAGATGTTGTATGATTGTTGGACGAGTGTTGGATGATGGTCAGACGATGGTTGAATGATGGTTTGAAGCTGGATGCTGGTTAGATGATGGTTGGTTGTTGGACAATGGCTGGATGATGGCAGGATGTATGATGGTTGGATGTATGAGTGTTGGATGATGGTTGGACGATGGTCGAACAATGGTTGAATGATGAT